GATATAAATGGGAAATTTAAAAATTGTAAACTGCTACATAAGCATGAAATGTTTGCACCTGTTTGCCAATAGTAACCTTTCAGTGATAAAAATTCCACAGACCAGAAACACAGTTTATTCTTTGAACTGGACCTTTGCCTGGATCTTGTAGTACTCAAAGACTACGTTGTTCAAGTGTCAGGAAGACAAACAATTCTGCTGATAGTATATCAAGTTTCCAATTCCAAAGCTAGATTAACTCCTGGCAACTTTAAAAAAATATGCTTGCTTCCCCAGCTCTGTGTTTGAGTCAGTGAAATGTTCACACAAATCAACATTCCGAAAGAACAGAGACACCTTTTGCAAACCGTGCCTTCCCCACCCCCATATTCTACCCTTAAGTTGCTCATTCCCATTTTTCTTCTTCTTTTGGTATTGTTGTGTTAGATGATGTTTACATAGTCGATCAGGGTGGGAAGGATCTAGGGCTAGGGAGAAGTGGGTGTGGTCATTGTTTCCAAACTTTCTATCTCCCCACTTCTGGGGGGCGGGGTGAGGAATGGGGAGGTAAGAGATAAGGGATTAGGCCATACCCAGCCTCTCAACCATCTCAGTACCCGAGGATGGGGAAAGGCCACCCGATATCAACCCTTGGTCACAACGTGGTGCATGCTCCGAAGGTTCTGCTCAGGTGGATGCGATAGTTTTGAAATGTGTCAGCCTCGCAGATCTATGGATGAGAAATCCCTTCCAATGTCCACTGGCTGACACGGTCAGCCTTACACTCTCCATTTGCCCAGATTTCTTCTTCTTCTTTTTTTTTTTTTAAGGTGTATTTATTTATTTGAAAGGCAGAATTACAGAGAGGAAGAGATAGAGAGATAGAGAGAGAGAAATCTTCCCCAAATGACCACAATAGCCAGGGCTGCTCCCAGCCAAGACTAGGACCCAGGAGCTTCTTCTGGGTTTCCCGTGTGGTGCAGGGGCTCAAGGGCTTGTACTTCTTTCTAAGGTGCACTCTCAGGGAGCTGGATCTGTAGTGGATTAGCTGGGACAGAGTTGACACCTACATGGGATACTAGTGATGCAGTCCAAAGCTTAAGTCTTCCACCCCACAGCACCCACCCTTCATTCCGGTGGAGAAAAAATATCATCAATATCTCTTCCTCTTTTTTCTGAGCAAATATCATTGTATTTCTTTTAAACGGTTATAGGGAGAAAGATGTTACATGCCTACTATCTAGGACTCTCAAGAGCTGGGACTGGGCCTCTCACGTGGATGACAGGGACACGGCTACCTGAGCCATCCCCTGCTGCTTTCCAGTGTATGCACTGTCAGGAAACTGGACGCGCTAGTGCAGCCAGGGCTCGAAGCCAGGGACATCCCAAGAAACATTTTAACTGCTGTGCCAGCCACTTGGCCCCCATCCTACTCTTCAAAAGTATCTCTCAAAGTGATGGTCCAGAAAGTCAGAGCTCCCTGGGTAGGGCAGTGTGATAGCCCCAAAGATGATCTCTAAGTTGGAAAGCTCAAGGGGTCTAGGAACATAGACAGTGTTAGTGGCCAGGGCTCAGTTCCCTAATCCCTTCAATGGCTTGATCTTGCTGAACACTTTGCAAAGAGCATGAGACGACATCCTCTGTGGGTGGCTGGCTGCTCCCTCATTGCCCAGCACTCTGACAGGTTCCTGTCCGGAGAGTTGAACCATTGCACTACGGAGATCATTATTGCTGTAACCACTGAGTGTTCACTTTATAACTCCTGGTGACTCGCATACCAGCTTGTATGTGTACATGTGTGTGTTTGTGAGAGACAGGGAAGAGATGAACAAGTAAAACCGTTAAGTCCCTCAAAGGCAGGTTCCTAACACCTAGACTTCTGTTGCTTCACAGCCCTCAATTCAAGGATCTGAGTTTTTACGGTTCTTTATGTTTTTGGCAAACCTAGAAATGGCCTTGGTTTCATTCTGATTATCTCTGGATAACTCCTTCAGGAATATGGGTCAGTGTGACATACTGTTCTTATGCTCATTAGTCTCAAGAGTCAAGAAGTACTTAGGTTAAACAGGGATAATATTCAATAAAGTGCCAAATTAAGAAGGTTTTGAGCAAGACATGGTTGCAATCATTGATTGTCCTAATTTCCCTCTAAGGATAATTTCGATTTTCTCTACTATAAATATTTTTTTTTTCTGCTTTAGTTTCCAAGCTTAACAATTTCAGGTTTATTCATAGAGACAAAGGTCGTGTTCTTCCTCTTCCCAGGAATCCTGGGAATCTGGTGTGCTCTGCCGGATGTATCCTCCCCGTCTCTAGGACACGGGCAGCTGCATTCAAATAAGATGGTTTCAACAGGTTCTTTTTGAAGATGAAGCAAGGCGGTTCTTGGTACTCTTACGTTCCAGGGGTTAGTGGTTCTTAAACATAAAGAGGACGTTGGGCAATACTAATGTCAACGTGGATTGTTGCAGGAGCTTGAGGCCCCTACCAGGCCTCCTACGAGCTCTGACAGTCAAGAACAAAGGGGTCATTCTCCTGTACGAAGCTCAGAGTGACAGACATCTGCAGAGCAAGTTAAACTGGGGACTGGATGTGACAACAGCCTTGTACTAAACACCTCATTTTAACCTGTTTTTGCATCTTAAATGATAGTTGTTCTGCAGTTCTGATAATAAAGCAATTGCACGGATTGATTGGTTGTTAAGTTTCCTGCTTAAGTAAAAGAACATGAAAGAATAGCAATATGTCTAACTCATGGCTGCAAGCATTTTTTTTTTTAACTTTCAGACTTTTGCCTTGACACCAAAACTCTATTCAGGATTGTCCATTTTACAAAATTTATCTGAACCACAAATTCTTTTGACAGGAAAAAAAAAACATTATGACTGCATTTTCATGGTGAAGAAATCGCTTCACCCCCTAATGGACGAGAATGTTGTCCGATGTGTAGGACATGCTGCAAGTAAAACCATCCCTGAGAAGTCCGAGTTGCTACAGCTGAGGTCCAGCTGAGCTCAGGAACGCCTGGGCCAAGAAGAATGACATAGCATGTGCCCCCATGGTACAACCAGACGGCCTGGAGGTGAGAGTGAAAAGACTGATTTTAAACACCACCACTGGTGGAGAACAACCTGGCAGCATGCCTGTGGGTCTCTTTGTAACTTAGAATCAGAAGTGGATTAGCAGTGTGAACTATTACGGTAAGGAAGCATTCCTCAAGTGAGAGTGCTGCATCTTCATTGCCACGCTTTCCTGGATTCGGTTGCATAAATAAAGTGAAGAGAGAGCTCACCATCGGGCCAACGGCGGGCTAAGGGAATGGCAGTCGAAATGGTTCCTGGAGGTGGTAGGGTGGCAGAACAGAGGGACTTTGGATCAAATAGATGGGCAAAGTTGTGTTTGGTTAGTCCTGGCCAATACGGCCATCTTAAGGTTGAAGCAACATGTCAGGACTGTCCCAAAGCTGGTAACTTCTTTTGGGTCTCCCACATGAGAGCAGTTACTCAAGCACTTGGGCCATCTTCTGCTGCTTTTCCCAGGCTTGTTGGCAGTGAGTTGGATCAGAAATGGAACAGCTGGGACTCTAACTCGTACCCATATGGGATGCAGGTGTCACAGGTGGTGGCTTTACCCACTGTCCCATCAGGCAACCCCATAATGTCACTTTGTCTAAGCTTTTGGAAGCATCCTAATATTGAAATTGTCATCTTAACGAGATCCAGGAAGCATTTCCTCTTACTAGCCAGATAATACTCATTGTACTTCAAAATCTCCATGAAATTCTGCATGAGGCAGATTCCTCTGTCTGTCCTCCTCCCGGCCCAAAGAACAGGGAAGGAAGGATCGGTGTCATTGTGAAGTGTCTGCCCTTTCACAGTGACCTGAAATGGAATCATAATTCATAGCATAGTGTTATCTTTGGAGCTCTTGAACTCCAACTGATTTAAAACCAAGAATAATAGCCTACTAGGAATACAGGACAGCTAAGTAAATTTTCCTGCCTTTGTTTGAGTCATTTTAAACATATTTTTGTTTTGTTTGCTTTTGTGCAGGAATTGAGACAATTGAGGTATCATGTTTGAGATCTATTCTTCAAATACAGTCAGCACAGGGGTTGGTTCCCACTTAATAGGCCAATGTTTGTTCACTCGGGATCCCACGGACCATTGCCTGTTATGGGACAGAAGGGAGCTTTGGTCCACACCCCTCCAGATCCTGGGCATGGGCTTGGTGCTCATGCAGGCAGCATTTGATGGCTCTGAGTTTTGCCTTCCTTATACTGTAGACACATAGACCAGGATGGATCCAGAGACATGCATCTTCAGACCAGCAGAACCAAACTTCGAAATACAAGCACTTGCCATGAATTTACCTGAGCAAAGATAACCTAAACATCTACTACTTCAGGGTGCTGAAGGAGGTGAGCTGAGGAGAACAAGTCAGGCACAATTTGAAGAGCCTCAGTATCAAAATCCCAACCATGTGTTCATGGCCCATTGCTACTAAGAAACTGTGTGAGCTTATAGGCCAGATGGCCTATGTGACCTTTAGCACTGATGGGCCCCAACTCTCATGAATCAAGGCCCACCTAAGTCTGGTTATCTCACAGGTGGCTCCAAGTAATTAAGTGGGTGCTTGCCTTAGTTGCTGGAGGCCTGGGCTGTCCAGCTGAGACAGGTAGGGAATGTGTGGTAGCTCCCCTCACCTTGCAGGCTATTGTGAATTGCCCCCTTTCAAGCTATTGTGGACTGCCCCTATAAAAACCCTATGAATGTGCTGTTCGGGACCACACTCCAGTAAGGGGCATTGGTCCCGGCTGGCCGGTCAGTCAGCCAGCTGCCTGCTTTCAACCAAGAACCCAGGCTCGGATGTGCTGAGCTTGAATAAACCATCCTTGTGCACTTGGATCGACTTCAGACTTCTGGTGATTTCTGGGGATCTCAAAGTCTGGGCACAACAAGTTCCCCTATTCTTGAAGTAGAAGAGCAACCTCCCTTCCTTTGCTTCATTCTTAACAGGTTGAATTCATCGGCGAATTTCCCGTCCCTGCCCTGAACAAATTGCTGAAATAACTTTGGCAGAAACAGAAGTATGTTACCTATCATAATATGAATAAGTGCTTTAACAAACTAAAATGCTCATGTATTGTACTTTAATCATATAAATTACTCCATTTTGTCCTCAGGAGACATGAGTGAGAAGCTAGTGGCAAGAATTCCAAAGCTGGGGATATCAGAGGGGGCCGTGCTGGCATCAGAGGTCAGCCAGATGAACCCGCTTTCTCTCTGAGCGGTTCACCCTCACTGTGTTGACTGTTGGTTCCTTTCTGAGTAAAGCAGGTTGCTGCACATTCTGCAAAGCTTGGTAGGCAGCTGAGAGAAGGCTGTGGAAGACGGCTGTCCTGGGACCCAGCATGGGCAGCCTGTAGTGAAGGCTCTCTGGAGGGAAGTGCAGGGAGAGAAAACAAACTCCTCAGGGGACCCCGCACAGACGCGTGCAGCTTTAGCAACATGCTCTAAGCACTGCAGCCTGGGTGTGTCCAGGCCTTGCACACCAGCATGGGACCCCACACTGGCACATGCTGCTTCAGCAACATGCTCTAAGCACTGCGGCCAGGGCACGTCCAGGCCTGCACACCAGATGGCCGCACAGAGCCCTCAGTGTCACTGGGTTCCTTAGAGGAGGAAGCTGCTTCTATCTTACAGGTGGGGACTACGAAGGAAGGCTATTTAGCAACATGAGGATTCAGACCGAGGGCTCATTGTTCCTGGGCTAGCATTTTCCCCATGACCTCATAAATTGCACTTGGGAGCAAAGCTCAGCTCAGAAAAGATCACAACGGGAATGAACAGGAGCTGTGCTACGCTTCAGCTCCTCGCCAGTTCTGCAGTCACTCTCGCTTAGGTCCAGCACCAAGATTACTGTTCTAGGATGGGCTCCGGGCATACTGATCCAAGTGTACTTGTACACATGTCTGCAAGACTGGCTTGTTCCTTTGCAAAGCAGGCCTGAAAAATGTCCAGGTCCAAAGGAAACTTAGAGTGAATATATGACTGCTCAGACAAACCTGACCCAACCACACATGCCTATCACTCTCGGCTTTGAAATGCTGGTGAGTCAGCGCATTCATACAATGAGGGAGTGGTGGTTTACCGGGTGGGTGGATGCTCTTAGCTCTGAGATCCTGATTCCATTTCGGCTAAATCAGAGTCCCTTGCTAGATCAATGTTTTTGGACTTACACGAAATGATTCACCGGGACTGGGTGGCTCTTCCCTCTCTCTGAGTAGATGTTAACCTGTTACCTGAGTCTCCACTCGTCCCTCCCAGCATCGCCTCAAGATAGCCTTTTATCCTCAGATTTCTGCTCCAGATACCCTCTTGGCTCAGTTCTAATTTGGCTCCTCTGTAATCTCCCCAGATAAAGTTTAGTCTTATTTGTGTAAGGCTGAAACACTGATCCTGATTCTTACTACAAGTATCCCCTATCGGAAGGCTCTGGGTGACGTCACGTAACTTGGGAGCAGATGAAAGGATGAGCAAAATGAAAGGAAGGACAAAGTCGCTCAAGTGTCACCCTGACCCCTTAAATGACGTCACCCCCAAAGAGTGGCCTGCCCAGTATCAGCTCCTTTAAAGGATGGCAGTTAAGCCAGTTCTGGAGAGAGCTGCTCTGTGCTCGCTCTGCCAGCAGCAAAGGAAGATGAGAACAGCATTGAGCGGCTGTGAAAAGGCCGGTGTTTCAGGGAACCTGCTGGCGGAGGTCCAGAGCTGTGCTGTGGCTGCCACGGGGGTTTCCCTCACTCGGTTGCTCTCTCAGGACCTGCCTGCACAGTGACCTCTTTCTCTAGTGTGTGTCCTGTCCCTAACGAAGCCCTTCAGCAAGGGGGCTACTGGCCAGATCCGTGAGATGTGGCGAGGTCCTGTGAGCGAAAACAACATGGTAAGGGGAAGTGAAGCGGAAAGAAGGGACAGGTGCACTTGCAAGAGAAACAGGTAGAGAATGGAAATTTGCTCAGAGGTTTAGAAAGTATCTTTAGAACTAAGCTTTTTGTTCTATCACTGTCGGCATAATACGTGTTGTGCTGACGTTATTCTATAAGAAAGCAAACCTGTTGGAATGGCATCATGAGAAGGTTTGGAACAGGCCGCCGTTTGGGACTGATGAAGACTCATTGTTCTGATTGGAAAAAGCAAGAAAACAGATATGTTACTTGGCTAAGGCTTGGTGGAAAGGGATGCATTTTTACATATTTTACTGCACAGATGATGAACTTTCCAGTCCCTGACTAGTAACCAGGTGACTGGTAACCATCCTGGTAACCAGGTGACTGCAGCAGTGCGTGTCCCAAACCAGCAAGTCTCACGCTCCTCGGACTTAGTGGTCGTCATAAACTTTTTTTTTAAAAAAATATTCAATTAAAAATTGTGTTCCACTGCAAGAACATGCATAGTCTAAAAATAGCAGGGATTAAGGAAAGAATTCTCCAACTGCTAAAAAAAAAAAAAAGGCAACTAATCAATATCTGTAATCTACCCCTTAATGAGCAAAACTAAGAATATTCTGGTTAAACTTGCAACCTTAGACAAAATGTCCTGGCCACATACCACTTCTCCTGACAGGCAGGTTGTGGAGGTAATTCTTACCCAAAACATTTACACATGTGTCTAGATGTCTAATGTCTAAAAACCAGAAAATTAGTAAACTTTGTTAAGCTACCTAAGGTTTTATATTTGTTTCATTATTTCTACTTCTACAGAGATATTCCAAGGTTATTTTCGCATTACTACCAAAAATATAGCCATGCCAACCAGAGTATTTTATTCAGTTGCCCCAGGAAGACTTATGGAGACTTTGTCCATCTGGGGTAAACAGATTGGTGATTTATTTAAGATCAAATAGTTTAGCTTGGGAACACTTCAGAAGAAGTTTTTTTGGGGATCTCCCCAATTGAGATGCCAGATTCAGAACCCTAACCATGAAAGGACAGAAGATGGAACAAGTTAATCAACCACCTCAGCTTTAGGTTGGCAACGAAATACCGGGCAATTAGAGGCGCTATGATGGACAATGTCAATCAGTGGGTTTTTCAACGACCTCATCATGATTGGAGAGGCGAGACTGGCAGCAATTCATAACTAGTGAACAATTGAAACCACCTGAACGAGTATCTCAGAGCATGCCCCACATGTGGGACTTGGGGTGGGTGGGAAACCGGGTGGGGCTTCTCCCAATATCCCACTTTACCTCAGATACATGAAGGAAACAATATGGAAATAATAGTCTTACCCACTTTCCTGTAGCCCTTGAATCTTTTTACCCAAATTAACTATGTAAAGATTGCCAAAATAATAATAATAAAAAAGATCAAATAGTTTAAATCTAAATTTAAATTTCACAGTTCAACAAATGTGTATCTATTTCTCCACCGCTTCTCTTTTTTGCTCCATCATTCTCCTATCCATTCCTTCCGCTCAACATGACCATAATTATTTGAAAGGCTATAAAGGCGGTCATTTTAAAAGGCAGTTATTCCACTGAGCACAGTTGCATTGACATGTATATGCAGTGAGATTTAAAACTACAAGAATAGATTCTATAAGCTATAAACAGAACCAGTTCCTGACTTATACTCATCTAAGATAAGCCTCAACCAGAAGTGACACATTTTCCTGTAAAGTACTGAAAAAGAACCAAAAAGCAAAACATAACAACGAACCCAGTGTTATTATTTCTGGTTGGTGTTGACATGATTATATGATGCTAATTCTTAATGTTAAATGGAGAATAGCTGTTTGTTTAAGATAAAACCAACTAACCATTCTGGGATTGCCACTTTATTTAAAGTATTGAACTTGCAAGATACATAAAAGGAGACAACTCATTTCAAAAGTCTCATTCACCTGACTACTCCACTTCCAACCTCGCTCCCTGCTAATGTCTCTCAGAAGCAGCAGAAGGTGGCCCAAGCACTTGGTTCCTGCCATCCATGCAGCAGGCCAGAAGGAAGCTCCTGGCTCCTGGCTTCAGCTCGTCCCAGTCGTGGTTGTAGTGGCCGTTTGGACGAGCGAATTCAAGAATAGAAGTTTCTCTCTCAGCATCTCTCTGTCTGTTACCCTACCTTTCAAATATAGATAAATAAATCTTTTTTATTTTAAAGGACTTTCATGGAAGAATAGAGTTTCATTTTGTGTAGAAATGCCTAATTTGAGTCCGTTGTCTTGCAAGAATAATTATTAGGATAAATTTGATATCATGATTTGATATAAGAGCTCTTTGAAAACACAAAGATCAGATAGACAAGCAATATCATTTCTAGGGATAATATTTCCCAAATATCTACCTCTTCCATGACCTTGTCTATCTGGAATAAGTACATGGCTTCAATCTTAGAAGGAATCAGAACTTCTACCACTGTGACACAAGGGTAGAAAAAGACTCATTTGTTTTTTTTTTCCAACATCATTGTTCTCTATAAGATACTATTATTATAAGTTTAAATTAAATTTCATCACATAATTTTTGATTGATTATATGTCAGGATAACTATTAATTGCAAGGCAAGTTGACCCACATTTATGACTTATCCAAGGCAAGAACATGTTTTGAGGTTCATTTTTTTCTTAAGATTTATTTAATTTTTATTGGGTAGGCAGATAAACAAAGAGGAGGAGAGATAGAAAGGAAGATCTTCCCTCTGTTGATACACTCCCCAAGTGGCCTCAACGTCTAGTGCTGAGCTGATCCAAAGCCAGGAGCCAGTAGCTTCTTGCAGGTCTCCCACACGGGTGCAGGGTCCCAAGGCTTTGGGCCGTCCTCAACTGCTTTCCCAGGCCACAGGGAGGGGGCCGGATGGGAAGCGGGCTGCTGGGGATTAGAACCGGTGCCCATGTACAATTCTGGGGCACACAAGGCGAGGACTTTAGCCGCTAGGCTACCATTCTGTGCCCCATACTTTGAGTTTTTAAACAAAATAAAAACATAATCCTTCTCTGTATGATGTCAGAAAAACTAAAAGAAAACTTTGACAAACCAAATCCAGAAACTTTTATACCTGTATGGATGAGAGAGGATCAGATGATAACCAAACACGCAGGGAGGAGGAATTTCAGTCAGTAAAAAGGAGCAGAGGATGTCCTGAATTTAGGACACAGTATATGTGATCATCCATGCCTCGTGATTCAGGTATGTTATTGACATATGAACTTATCTCCAGTCTGCCCAAGTTATCAAGGAAATACACAATAGTCTGTCAAGTTGTTCAAGAAGAATATTGAAGTGTGTCTTTCAGGCTCTCTAATCAGAAAATAAAATCTGTCCGTTATCCCATTCCCAAAGCTTTCCTTAAACATCCTATTTATACATTTCCCAAGTCATCCTGACCAGAATTAGAGATGTCTTGAATAAAAGCTCTGGCGTACCTGTGATTCCCAACATTCTTGAAGGACAGTGCAAGGCCGTCAGGGATTCTCACGGGTCTTAATTGCATCTGAGGAAGAAAGTCTCATTTAGAACATTACCCATAACTGCCTGCTGATTTAAATTAACAATACAGTGTAACTTTGATGAACCTGAATTTTATTTGATATTAAAGTCATTATGTAGGGCCAGCATTGTGGCACAGAAGGCTAAGCCACCAACTGCAGCAACAGCATCCCATATGGGCATCAGGTCCAGCTTTCTCTCAATGAGTCTGAGAAAGCAACAGTTCTGAATCGAGTGCCTGGCTCCCAGCTCTGGCCTGACCAGCGCTGGCCATTGCAGCCTTTTGAGGAGTGAGCCACTGGGTGTAGGAGCTGTTCTTCTCTCTCTCTTCCTCTGATTGCCTTCAAATAAACAAAATTCTTAGAGGTGTGTATCTATAATATGAACAAAGCACAGACTAGCACCCTTCTCTTAAGTCATGGTGCCTTTGTCTTGCCCAGCTATCACATCTGAATGCATGATACCCCAAGACTAGTTAGACTAGTGTTAACAGCTGCGTTGTCACGGAGTCTCCTGGTCAGTCTCTGCCTCACTCACATCTGCTTGGAGCTCCCGCTGCAGGAATACTGGGAGGTTTTCCTTGCATTTGGTGCTGCGCTTCCCTGGTAGGCTCAGCTCTGTGAGAGCAGAGATCACTTCTTCAGTCTTGTATTCTCAGCTCCTAACACAATGTTGGTATAAGAACTGCTTCGTTTTGTTTTATCAAATTATTGGATGAAGGGCATGATGTGAAACACTTCAGACCTGTCAATGTGCCCTTCATGAAGGCCTCATGGTAGGCCGTGTGGACACATGGGCCTCTTGATTAGAAAATGCCGGTGCAAGTGTTCATGGAGTGCCTCACACCAGGAGGGCTCTGATTTAAAGTTAGGGTAAATAGCACTGCAGTTTACAGTGTGTCAAGGACCTCTAGAGGTGCTCCAAAATAGAAACAAACCAACCTCAAGCTCAATGCCAAGCACTTACTGCGTTTAATCAGATTGTTCTAATTTATTACCTGAAAGGAGGGAGCTAGCATAGGGCAGCAAAAGCTTTAGTGAAAATCTGAGGGGAGATTTCCATTTTCCTAAAAGGGGCTGAGGACGTGCCAAAAGCAGACTCTGCCCTTTTAGTGGCAGGTGGGTCCTTTCTGTAGGAGAGATGCAGGACCCTAAGGACCCTGCATGCACATGCGGCGGAAGAGGCTGCAGCAGGCCAGCTCTGCACGCTAAGGGCCGTGCATGCGCATGCGTTGGAAGAGGTTGCAGCAGGACAAGGCTGCCACAGACACTGCTTCTGGTTCTCAGAAACAGTGCATCATGGGAACTCCTACTCCAACTTGCAAACCCGGCTGACTTCCTTTTCCCCAAAGACTTCCCCGGGTTTTACTTTGCCTGCTCCTCCCCTCTCTACCAGATGCAGTTCTATACACATGCACCGCATTGTACTGTCATTATTTATTCCATAAGGCAGGCATTGTGTCTCATTAATTAAATACTTGACCCGTAACAGCAATCAATAAGTCATTTGTTAAAATGAAGTATATGAACAGTCTTTTAAAGCCAACTCTCCTATGTTACAGAATGCCTGCCTAACAGTCCCATTTTTAAAGAAATGTATTTATTTGAAATGCAGAGTTACAGAGAGGGTACGAGATCAAGGAAGAGAAGGAGGGAGAGAGGGAGCTTCCCTCAGCTAGCTCACTCCCCAAACAGCCATCACACCCAGCCCTGGGCCAGCTTGAAGCAGGCGCCAACTCCTTCTGGGCTCCGAAGAGTGGCAGAGGCCAGGGGTTGGGGAACTGCTGCTCTTTTTGTTTGCGTATCACAAGGAGCTGGGAAAGAAGCAGAGCGGCTGGGAGTGGCACAGGTGCTCATACATGACGCTGACCTCACAGGAGGCAGTACGACCCCTGCACCACGGCTTGCCAGATGCCACTTCAAAATAAAAATGTCCAAAGGAGTGACTCCATTTACTTCTTTCTTTCTTCCTCTCTTTCTTTCTCTTTCTTCCTCTGTTTCTTTCTCTCTCTCTTTCTTTCTTTCTTTCTTTTTCTTTCTTTCTCTCTCTCTCTCTCTCTTTCTTTCTTTCTCTCTTTCTTTCTTTCTGATTTATTTATTTACTTACTCTAACAAATTACAGAAAGGAGGAAGAAGAGGCACAGAGATCTTCCACCTGCTGGTTCACTCCTCAGATGTCTGCACAGGCCCGAGCTGGGCTGATCAGGACCTGGGAGCCAGGAGCTTGTTCTCAATCTCCTACATGGGTGCAGGGTCCCAGGCCGTGGACCATCTACCACTGCTTTCCCAGGCCATTTGCAGGGAGCTGGTTTGGAAGTGGAGCAGGCAGGTGATGACCTGCTCATAAGGAATTGTTGACGTCGCAAGTGGAGGATCAGCCTGTGACTCCAGTCCCCTCCCCCATTTCTAATTTCCAAAAATTATTGTTTGATTTTCATTTTATCTGACTGGTACAGGACAGGAGAAAGAGATCCTCTGTCTGCTGGTATAGTTTTCAAAGGCTTGAAATAGCAGGAGCCGGAAGCCTGGAGCTCCAGTCAGGCCACTCAAGTGAGTGTCAGAGACCCACACACGGAGCTGTCACCTGATGACTTGCTGGTGCACACACACAGGAAGCTGGGATAAAGAATGCAATTGTCGTTTGCACTTTCTTACAGGGAATGAGAGTGTTCCAAGCAGTGACTCAGTTTGCCAACACCTGCCTCATACAGTCCTACTTTTAAAGGGTTTGAAAGTGTTAATTAGAGAGCAATGTAGTTAATGGAAAACTGGTGTATTAAAAGGAACAGGAATTGTTTGGAGACAGATGCTTTAAAGCACAGTGGGGAACATCTCTTTCCCTGGTGTAATAACCCTACCAGGCCTGCCTCCTGCCACGGTTCCTGTGTTTGCCAATATGTACAGCAGACTGCTCTTATCTATCCCACATCCCATGCAGCTCTCATACATGTCAATGGGCATTGAAGCCTAGTTCAACCCAACCAACCCCACTATCCAGCACACACGTGTTGGTGGGTGCCACTTTGTCTAGTCATGCCTGTCCCAGTCCTGGTTCTCATGCCCACCAGTCAGAGTGGCAACCCAAGTGGAAGATGCCCACTGCTTCCCTACTGGGTCTACTCCCACTCCTGGATCTTACACTCTGCAGGTGGTTCTGCAGTTGACTCGACAGTCTTCCCCCTATGCCAGCATCTGGCAGTTGATGCTGTGGCAAAGCCCAATCAACCCTCTCACTCTGGCTTATACATGTACTACTAGGTACAGACCTCCCAGCTTGATTAGGGTTCAATCCAGCTTCCATGCAAGCCAACAGGTGTTGTAGCCTGGCCTGGCCTACCCCCAATCCCAGCTCTCATGCTCAACAGTGGGAATAGTGGTCCAGCAGGAAATCTCCCTGCAGCCCCCCTACCGAGTTAACCAGCTCTCTCCTGGCTCTCACATATTCGGGTTGGGCTCTGTGACCCAGCCTGGCATGGCCCACCTACCCCCTGCATTTGCCAGTGGGTTCTGTATCCTTGCCTAGCCTGGCCCCAGTTCCAGGTCACACTGGTGGAGACTGCAGCCTAGCCAGCCCAGCCACCCCCCAGTCCCAGCCCTAGTGTGAACTGGCTGGTATTGCAGCCCAACCTGGCATGACCAATACACCATTCTGGCTCTCAGACTTGCCAGTGAATAATATGAACTGGACCAGACTGGCTCAGCCCAGACCTGAGCCAAAGGTAAGCCCCTGGGTACCATAACCCAGCCTGGTTTTGTTAAACTTATACCTAAATATTTATTTTTTTATATTCCTGTAAATGCAATTTTTAAAAATTTTTATTTTTGGACACATTACTAGTATGTACAAATGAAGCACTGTTTGTATGTTCGGTAATCTGCTGTGCTCTTGCACCTGTTTATCAGCCCAAATAGTTGTGTGGGTTATGGCGGGCTTGGTACATAGCAGACTGTGCTGCCTGCATACAGGGAAGATCTATCTAGTTATTTGAACGGCAGAGTGACAGAGAGAGAGGAGAGAGAAGAGACGAGAGAGGGAGAGAAGAGAGGGAGAGAGAGAGAGGAGAGAGAGAGGAGAGAGGAGAAAGGGAGAGAGAAGGAGAGAGAGAGGAGGGAGGGAGAGAGAGCAAGAGAGAGGAGAGAGAGAGGAGAGAGGGAAAGAAGAGAGGGAGAGAGAGGGAGAGGAGAGAGAGAGAGAGAGAAAGGAGAGAGGAGAAAGAGAGAGAGAAAGGGAGAGAGGGAGAGATTTTCCATTTGTTGGTTCATTTTCCAGATGGCTGCCAACAGCAGGGTCTGGATAAAGCTGAAGCTGGACCTTCCTCCTGGTCTCCCACATGGCTGGCAGGGGCCAAGCACTTGGGCCATCTTCTGATGCTTTCCTAGGCAGATCAGCAGGAAGCGACAGCAGCAGAGTGGCTGGGACTTGAACCAGCACTGTGGTGTTGTCAGCAGCAGCTAAGCTCACTGTATCACAATGCTGTCCATACCTCTTTCTTTCTTACCTGGATGGCTTTTACTTTTCTTTTTTGCCATAATTTCCCAGCACAGTGTTAGAAATAGTAAAAAGAAAAAAAAAAGATAACTTTGGTAGGATGTTATTTGTGGACTTTCAGGAGATGGTCTTTATTTGGTTGAGGAAGCTCCCTTCGACTCCTCTGGACTGTTAAATGGCCGTCTGGGATCTGAATGTCATAGTAGCAGATCAACAGCCCCCCACCTGCAGGTAGCCAGGCAAGGCTATTTGGTTTCTTTGTTCTGACTCTTCAATTTCCTCTCGGGATCTGACAGCAGTAGGAACAGACCCCTGAGAGCTTTAGTGTCTGAGGACATTCTGTTACATGCTACAGCAAATGGCAAAACCAAACCACAGGGTCCCACTCGTGTCTGGCCCAGGCTAGAGCAAAGATGAGAAAGGACAGCTGCTGCAGTGTCCAGCATGCCAGGGGATGAGGCCAGCACAGGCCTGGGTCAGGGCCTTCTAAAAGTAGACATAGATTAGTCCAGGAATAGGATGTCAAGAAAACCCAATTCTAATTGCCCAGACTCCAGTCAAAACAAATGTTGAACAGCATGCTCCTAATCACGTAGACCGTGAATGCAGATGACAACTGCCAGGTATAGCTATGCCAGTAGCTTCAGTTAAACTTCTGAATCCCCCAAAGTTTCTCAACATTTCGCTGCTCTTTTCTGTAACCTACTTGCCTCTGGCAGGTTGGCCATGAACCCAGGTAAGGGGCCTGTTTCACAGGAGTTACCTTTCTCCTATCCCCTGCCCTGGCTCTCACAGTTCACCCAGCCTATCTTCTCAGCTAGGGAAAAGGAGGATCACAAACCCAATCAAGAACTAAATTAACCCTTACCCAAAGCCTTCTCCCAACACTAGCTTGAAGCCTTGAATTGAACCACATCTGAACCCTGACTTGGTAGAGCATCTCTTTGGTAGCAGCCCATCGGCTCTGACAGATGTCCTTCCCTCCACATACACCTCAATGTCCTTCATATTTTACCAAGACGTTCCCTGCCCCATAATTCCCCACCACCTGTTATGGATACCCTGGCCAGAGGACGCCCCCATTCCCTTTGCAGGTCTCTTGCGAGGTGTGCTCTGAATTACTGACAAACCCAAAGGCTGAGCTGCCTGCCTCATGACGGCCAGGGTGGAGGTCTGGGAGTGCCTTGGAGTTGGAGAGATGTTCAAGGGGTGGAGAACCTCTGCCATCTAAACCTCCCTGAAGGTGCCATTGCATAGGAATCCAAAGCCAAGCATCTCTTCGGCTTCCTTTGGCCCATCTATTGTCCTTGACCTTGCTGAAATTAGGCCGACTTATCTTGTGCCTGTGGATGGTGCCTCAAGGCCAATGTTCCTCATTTGTGGCCTCTGTCAAGATCTTTCTTGTAATGGGCCCTCTTGCAGTCTCTCTGCAGGGCTTTGATTAGGGACAAGGAATCCTGGGCCCACACAGCACCCATGCCCACGTCTCACACACCCCTTCCCTACCGTGTGTATTTCTTGACAGGTAGAACACAATGGCTTGGTGTGGAGTAGTATCTGGGTCTTCCTGTCCTGAAAGAAGAACAAAGACAGGTGAGGGAAATAATGAGAACCTGGAGAAGCAAGAGCAGGCGATGATGAGTGGCAGGATTAATGATAACAGCCTTCCCTTCCATTACACTAAGCTGGGCACTCTGGCCTCACCCCACACAGGATAGACTTTGAATCTGGGCTTTGCTTCAGGGGTTCAGAAATGGCTTAGGCGGGAGGGTGTGAGCCACAGAGCCAGCACTGGTCTTGCAGCTACTGCTATGGTGGTACAAGCAGGGGGGACAGTTGGCAGAGGAGGCCAGAGCAGGGGCTGAGACCAAAACCCAGCGGCGTCTCTGCTTGCCAACCTGAGCATCTATGACTGAGGCTGTGTGTTCTCACAGGTGCCACAAAACTCTCTGCTGTGTGCGGAGTTGGCTCAGAAACAAGAACCCTCTCCTGTGCACTGCACACCAGCTGCCACCAACGCCATCCTTTGTCTCCTGCCTTCCTTCCAGCCCGATGTTAGCTCTCCAACATCTGTGCTGCAACACCACTTCACGCCACCACACTTCCTGCATGCCACAAACTAAATAACAGGCAGAGATGGCATGGGTAAGTGAGCCCTGAGCCCCTCAGTTTCCTGGGGGGAAGAATGGCTGGCCCTGCAACAGAAGTGGATGGCCCGTGGTGACAGGGTGGGCACCCTGTGTGTTCCCTGCAAGCACCACCTTCTTCCTGATGTCCGCTCTGCAGGGGCTGAAGGAGAGGCCCAGGGCTCTGCCATGTGGGACAGGAGGTTCTCATCTCGGTCTCTGGTGGAAGGCTGAGGGAGGGGGCAATGGGACTAACTTGAGGCTAAACTTGTGTATTGGTATTCTCTCTTATCCTCGGTGGTGACATGTTTTCATGAAGCTATGGACAGCTGGGGCAGACAGGCCTTAGTGACAAGTAAGTGATGGCCAGCAACAGAAGCCTTCTCCTTCGTGGGTGTCTTGGTGGCCTCTCATCGCACACATGCCCTGAGCCTCTCCCGCAGCCCTGGGCGGTGCGGGAAACAAGGAGAAGCAGAAGGTTCTGGCACAGCATGTGGAGTGTCTGGGGTGTGCTGGATTGGTGACCTTTAGCCTTCAGAGAGGAGGCATTACTGGGGGTTGGGGACTGAAAACTACTGACAACACTGGGTTCACTTGGCAGATACTGAAAATGCGCTTCACTTTTATGAGAGGTTTTCAAAGAATAAACTCAGCATTACAGGGTTGTGGGTTGGTATGCTAAAGTATGAGTGTGGATGACTAGACTGATTCATTCAACAACAAGCATCTATTATGAGGCCACCATATGTAAGTGTGGGTGCAGCAATGGGGTCACAAAGATGAATAGGATGAAGTCGATGGCCCTAAAGAAGACAAGAACTTCATTCATCTGCCTGTTCATTAGGGGCAAGGGCCATGAACATGCCCAAGACATGGCTTGTTGTGACCAGCAGAGCGTACGCCAAGAAGGATGGTAGTGCCGAAAGCGCTGTAACTGCAAGATATGAGGCCCCAGGAAGGGCACAGGGCGCCTTCGAGCTCACCTAGGAGTAGGGCAGAAAGGGATCTGAGAAGGTTCGAAAGAACAGGCATCCCTTGGTAGGTGAACAGGAGAGGAGAGGGCATTCCAAGCCAGGAAACAGAGCAGTAAGAACATGGAAGAGAAACCCATCAATTCCATATCAGGTGACTGAGGAACGGGGAGCAGGTGGCGTGACCAAAGCGTCCAGTGGCATGGGGGTGTCTGTGTGTGCTGAGTCCTGTTTTAAGGGGCTAGGTGGAGTGGCAGGAGTGTCCAGTGGCATGGGGATGTGCTGAATCCTCTGTTTTAAGGGGCCAGGTGGTGTACTCAGAGCGTCTGGTGGCATGGGGGTATCTGTGTGTGCTGAGTCCTGTTTTAAGGACTGAGTTTACCCTCAACAGTCTTCCTCTCTGTCTTCTGGTATCTCCGACAGCATCCTAAGGGCAGCACTGGCTGACACTCAAGCCCGCCTGTCCTCTGAGTGGCCCGAGACTAGGACAAGGCTCGGCAGCTGCATTCAAAGTTGGGCAGCCGGTGGACATCACAAAAGGAGCAAGGATCAAGGATGCCTCTGGGCCCTCGGAAAGGAGGCTGGCCATGTTCAAACAGAGGGGTAGCGAAAGCTTCCTCAAAGTGGCACACTTGGTCTGGATGGGCGAGGGGCCTGGGAGACACTTCTTTGGGTGGCTGTGCTTGCTTTTGGTAGTTACAACCAGATTCTTGTGTGCCTTGCAATTAATTCCTTCACTTTTTCCAAACTTCTGGTTTCTGTAGAACAATACTGCTAGATTCTACAGGGAGTGGGATCACAGTTTGTTGGAAACCAAGCACAAATGCATTTGTGCAAGCTCCAAGGCATGTGGCAGGGTCTTCCTGGGCTGTTAATACGCCTGTAGCTGAGGTCCCATACCATGCTAGGCAGAATCCCATGCAACCTGAAGGACAAAATGCTTTATACATTGTCCTGCCTGGCCTTGATAACTCTACATCTGTTCAGATACAAGACAGGCATTACTTTCTCAGAACCTTTCCCCCTGCCTTCCCATCCTCTCCTAGCCTTATGACACGAGTTTGGTGCCTGTCTCTGATTCCATCACAGAACTTACTCTAGTTCTTTTCCATTTTATACCTTTCCTCCTTCTCATGTTTTGTTTGCTCCTTGAAGCTGAGAGTTGTTTAGCAGCAGGAGCCAGACCTTACACGTCTTTGTGTCTCTAGAATTAGTCATAGACTCAGACACACACTGTTCAGCAGGTCATTTGAATGAATGAGTTATTGGAAGCATTGAAAACGATCATGTATTGATCGAATCAACTCACTTATAAACACACACACACACACACACACAGTACATGGGGGTGTGCAGGTCACAACACTGCCTTAAGGGAGCATTGCAGAACTCAAGTGTCACCGTGTAGGAAACTCATTCTATAAACAGGGCTGCAAGGAGCCCGGGCTGCCAATCTGAAGAGCTGGGGTGAGCACCCTGAGTGACTGGGGAGTGACGTACACTGCCCGGGCATTCCCTCTCCTGCTGATGGTCTCAGCAGACGCGCTGACCCTCTAAGCTTCACCTATCGGGGTGAGCTGTGCTGGCCCCCATGTCCAGCTCACTGCCAGTTAGGTTCTGGCTCCATGCAGAGTGACTCCATCCCCCTGGAGAGGGCAGTGAGGGTCCAGGGGGACCAAGGAAGGCATCTGGGGCAGGTACATCCCAAGTCGGTGCAGAATTACGCTCTGCCAGCCTCCTGTCCCCCGTCCCCTTGGGGCTTTCCTATCTGAGCAATGCATTCCACTGCTGGTCTCACTCAGGCCGCTCAGGAGCAGCGGCAGAAGCAGGAGAGGGGTGGCCGGGCTCGCAGCATGGCCAGCATGGCCCCTGCAGCCGAGGCCCTGGAATGTTCATGGGACTGTCATTTCTCAAGCAGCTGGTCTCGTGGCAGCAAATGGCACTGTGACAGGAGAGTGACGGCAGCCTGTGTGCAGTTTGACTGACACAAGGTGCAGATTCCAGCCACTCCCCAGAAGCCAACGCTTATTCTGCACGATCCGAAACTGGGAGCATCCATGGCTGCTGAGGTCCCCGATGTTGGCTCACAGCCCAAGCTTCTCCTAGACCGATGAAACAGACATAGCCCTCTTTCTGCCTCTCCCACTGTCTTTCTTCTCTCCCCCTTCCCATTCGCTCCTTGTCTCACACACCTGTTCACATAGCAAAACGGAAAACATGAGCACCAGATGGTGACTTTAAAAATAGGCATCACAAGTCTGATCTGCGGAGTGCTGGCAAACTGACCTCTGACCTCCCTGCCCTTTGACACATCTAGTTCTCCTCTTCCCACCCCCTACACCCCCAAATCACCTGAGCCCTCACCTTGAGGGCACCTGGCTCTTCAACGAACGTAATGCAGAAACTGGCCCAAAAGGATTAGATTTTTTTCCCAATGCAACATTTATTTGGTTGCAGTTAGCTATTTTTTTAATGAAAGTTTCAAAGGCAGATGGCTATTCCTCAGCAACTGGGTGGACTGACAGGACCCTGGGAAGGCATCCGTATTTCTATACTTACGGAGTCCCCATTGCAGCCGCCAGAGCCTGATTTCAACTTTCCAAACAAAAATCTATCATGCCTACACATGTTCCTTCTGAAATTATCAACAACCTCAATGAAAGAATCAAGCTGACTGCACTTTCAAACACGCTCTCACCTTCACTACGAAATGTCCCAAACACACACAGAATAACACAGTCAAGCACATGCCATCTGGCCACACGGAACTCGGTTCTCATCATTGTTGCCACTCCCGGGCCCGTGGTGTGCAGTGCCACTGCTCCTTTAAGATGGCGGCCACGTGTTTCATCAGTACGACTGGAAAACAGACTTAGAGGTACACAGAGTAACTCCATGGTGATCACGAGTTTTCAAAATGTAGGACCAACAAGAGAGAAACAACGGGGAGTTCTTAGTGGGAAGGAAATCAAGCCTCCCCCCAACCCCGCTCCATGCTCTCCCCGCCCATCTGCTACCACACAGCCCTTTCAGCCAGGGCCTTCGCCACAGGTCTGTGCAAGGCAAAATAAAGAATGCTCTCTGGTCACTCTGCAGTGCTCCCACCCAGCTCCTCTCAGGGTGCCCAGCCTGCAGTGCTCCCACCCAGCAACACGTAGGATGCCCAGCCTGCAGTGCTCCCACCCAGCTCCTCTCAGGGTGCCAGGCCTGCAGTGCTCCCACCCAGCTCCTCTCAGGGTCCTCAGCCTGCAGTGCTCCCACCCAGCTCCTCTCAGGGTCCTCAGCCTGCAGTGCTCCCACCCAGCTCCTCTCAGGGTCCTCAGCCTGCAGTGCTCCCACTCAGCTCCTCTCAGGGTGCCCAGCCTGCTGTGCTCCCACCCAGCTCCTCTCAGGGTCCTCAGCCTGCAGTGCTGCCACCCAGCAGCACACAGCTGCTGATCCTGTCACGGGTGGTGGTGTCTGTCCCCTCTGCGTCCATCTTCAGACTGCTATGACACATCTGCCCACGTCACAGCATTCTGAGAAGTCCTCAGTCGGTGCCAGAAACAGCAGGTGAAAGTCACGTGGGGCGAACAAAGTTCTCCCCAGGAAACATTTAAATGAGGAAATGTTTGTCCCTTTGCCTTCCCTAAAACTTTGAGGCTCCGCCTCTGCTTGTGCCCTGTGTGTGTCACTCTGGCCGTCCATCCCTCCCTCCCAAACCGTCACTGTGTCCCCAAGTCTGTTCACTAGGGACAATGCCACTGGCACACGGCTGAGGACACCGGTCTGTAAGGGTCTCTCCCTGGGCAGGGGAGGAATGCCACTTGCAATGTTGCTGTACAAACTTCTGCCCTTCGGTCTGCGCTGATGCACAGGAAGGGAGCCAGGTGGCAGGACCTTTGCCCTGCCACTCGGGGCCAGGGCCTCCGGGACGGCCAGTAGCTGCTCGGCAGGCAGGCAGGTGTCTGATCTGAAAAGCTAGGGCGGCCACAATGCATTCCACTCCTCTGAGGCCGCAGCATAATCTCTTTCCAGAAAGGCGCAGGTGCAGGCGGAGCCCGTGCTTGCTGCTTGGCAGACACGCACAGCGCTCCGGGCTGACTCTGGAGCCCACCGGCCAGGCAGGGAGGGGATCCTACACACCCGCCCACTGCTCCAACAGAACGAGAATCCCAGGTCTCCTGCCTGCTTTGCCAAGGCGCACGAGTGTCTCGGGGACACTCTTCTTCGCCCACCAACCATTAAAGGCTGGTGGGGATGACCTAATGGCATCTTCTCTCCCAACAGGGACAGTTCCAGCTGTGAACTCTACCAGCCACTGGCCTCCTAAGCACTGGCCAAACAGCTCTAAGCTACCGCTCTCAACTGTCACCTAGTGGTCAGCCGCGAGCATTGCAGCCACGGAATGCTAAGCCCCTCGGCAGAAGGCCTCTCATCTCCCTTGCTCAACAGAAAATGGGCTCCCCTCCCATCTTCTGCCCCAGCCACACGATGCCTGGTCATCTTAGTACCTGAGTTTCCATCATGCACTGAGACCCGACGGAAAGCTGGGACGAGACTGGAAGCTGCTTAGGCAGTGACTGCCTGCCCAGTCCAGCCTCCTGGCCCCACCTCCAGGAAGACTGAATGTCATGGTGACCACTGCTACCTCCTTGCTGGTCTAGGGTGTCAGGGTCTTAAAGGCAGAGAGCATCGACCCCGACTGGCTAGTGCTGAAGACCTGCAATGCCACCCCACTGCTCTTGGTCAGCCAGGCCCTAGATCCTCCGGCTGAGCTCACCCATCCCTGGTCCCATCCAGGAAGGCCCTGGACTTCTTATCTTTGCAACCGCCTTCCTTTTGCAGCCCCTTCTCTGCCCTGGCTCTTCTGCATACAGGCAAAGATGCTCTACTCAAGACTTAGTGTAGACACGCTTCCTCCAGAAGCATCCCGTGCCCTCTCCCTCCCTCTGGGCACCATGCCAGGAGGCGATGGACAGGAGGCCTCCCACCTCCCTGGGCCCCCTGTAACTGCCCCTTCCCATCCATCCCTTCGTGTGGGCGGCCCCACACTTACTCATCTGTTTATTTTACAGCGAATTAAAAGGGCTCGGCGAGCACCCAGTGACCTGCAGGAGGCTGCTCCTAATTGTGGTTCACGCTTCCCAAACACTCCTCGTGGGTCAGGCACTGCTTCGGGCACTGCGGATGGCAGCCTCGTGGGTGCTGGGCGATGTCTCACATGAAGAAATGGTTCATGTGGCCACGTCAGGAGGGAACAGCTGCACACCACCACCCGTCACAGCAGCCCCGTGACACCTGGCACCTCTGAGTGTCCCCCTGGCCAGTCACGGGGAGGGGAAGTGGGATGTGTGTAGCCAGTGGGAGGGTGACAGACCACAGTTACCTGCTGTGGGGTCACATACTCCAGGAGCGAGGACCGAGAAGCAGCCCCTGAAGGCTTTGGAAAACTCCCCCCATGTTTGGCTTCTGGGTCCCTTTTCCTATGGTTGAACGCTATGCTTTTACTCCTGGTTGTAGTGGACTGGGACCAAGAGATGGTGTCCATTCATTTCACCCAAACGTTCCTTGAAGCTGAGTGACAGGCCAAGCACGCGCCAAGGACATAGAAGAGTGGTGTTCACACTCCGTGTCACCCTGCAGGTGCTGCTACTTCCACGCAACTCAAAACAGTTTCCTCTAGTACCTTTGATAAGACATCTGGAACACGGAACACAGCTGACAGGTCCCCGTCCTTCCTGGATGCAGGCAGAAAAGCGCCCAGGGAACGTGGTGATCTAAGAGATGGAAACAAGCTCTGGTTGGACCCAAGGCCCCCGGGAGGAAGTGGCTGGCCCCTGTAAACCAAACACGAGGGCCGCACCTCAGGGCTGCCTCTTGTGGGGCTCCATGGGGCTCCTGTGGGGCTCCCGTGGGGCTCTGCTCCTGGGGGCTCCGTGGGGCTCTGCTCCTGGGGGCTCCGTGGGGCTCTGCTCCTGAGGGCTCCCGTGGGGCTCCTACCCCTAAGGAGCTCTCAGTAGCATGGCTTTCCCGACTCAGCTTATTTGTATTTCGAACTCCACAGTGGCAGCTCTGGACTGTGAGAACTGCCAGGGCCATTTTGCCTGCTATGCCACCATGGTGGCCCCTGTCTACTGTGCATTTAAGGAAAGGCATGTGAGGGGGGTGGTATTCGTGAGGCATTTGCATTTTCGTTTCTCCTTGCCACTTCTCTGGGCCCTGTGAGAGCAGAGGCCATCACAGATTCGTTCCTATGGAATAGGCGATCTGGAACTTGCTACCCAAGTGCTGACTGGGAGAGACCAGAGACCCATTTTGAGCTGTTTCGGTATGTATCATCACATTATAACAGGCCCCGGTGTGAAGGGCAGGGTTTTGGAGCCGGATGGCAAAGGGTGGCGTTGGCACAGCCAGGCTAACCAGAGGGTCTGCCCCACAGGAAGCAGATCTGCGCAGCAACAGGAGGTGGCCCCCCTGCACACGTGCTGCCAGAGCCTGAGAGCAGAGGCACTCTGGATGTATTTCAGGAAAGTTCCTCATCTTTAGACCCGTCTGCGGCGGGACTGGCTGCCCAAGGCTGCGCAGCAGTTACAGCACAGCGAGAACTTTCCCAAAAGGTCTCAGAAAGGGTCTTGCTAAAAATAGCCAGCTTGGGACCCAAGGCTTTGGCTGGATCCGTGAGAACTATTGATAGTTCAGCAAATCACAATTTACAAACACTATTTTGCCTTCCCGGGCACTGCAGCCACCTCCCAGGTCCTGGCTCAGAATTCTCACGGGGCAGATAAGCTCCGCTTTGTAAGCGGGTTAACACTGCCCAAATCCATAGTGGAATGCGTGACACCTCACTGCTCCCCTCACAGCTTCTCCTTGAGAGTAGCTCCACTCGGGCTGGCTGGCGGGAGAAGATCCTCCTCTTCTTCCCTACTGGCCGCCGAACACACCAGGCCCTGGCTGTGGGCATCAACAGGTGCCCTGGCCACCAGCTGGGCTCTGGGCCAGGCAAGAAGGCAACTGGGGGCAAAGGAGCCACCCCCAAAACAGTTAGCTCCTGGCTGTAGGGGCATATGTAGGGGTAAGGGATCAAATGGGACCGGTAGGGTGTTGCTCCGTAAGTCCAGGACTAGCAGTCACATACAATACAAAAAGAAAAGTCCAATTCCTAATATTGTTAGAAAAGTCAGCCCATCTGTCCCCTGGCCTCACATATGTGCAGACAACACAGGTTAGGGCAGAGAGCGGGCTGTCCCCTTCAGTCCTCTGACCAGCTCATGACTGTACCCATTTGTCAGCAGTTTGTACTCCACCCTGAACTGACAGGTGCTGAGCTGTCAGCACTCGCACTGACCCCTGAAGGGCTAATGACTCGTATTCAGAGCTAGGTCAATCCTGTTTTTATTTTCTAAACAATATTTGGCTTGACATAACTGCTGATTAATTGCTTGGGATAAATTCAAACTTAGAGTAAAGCATTACAACTGAACAACAGGCACTGGAAAGCACTTGCGCTTTAAAAACACACAGAATTACCTAGCTGCCTGTGGGGACTGTGGTTTTGTGTGGTGGACCAAGCAAGGGTAGTAAGAGCGGTGTGGGAAAAAGCCGCCCCATGCCAGGCAACCAACCCAATCCTCTGTGAGGGGCCTGAGTCGCTGCCCCCCGGCCTGCCTCTCCCTGTCCTTCCTGTTTCTCCTAGGCACCCCCATATTATTTCAACACACCCTTCTTCCCATTTGCCCTTCCTAGAGCACAGCCCTAGCCACCAAGGGATCATATCACCAACAATGGGGGAGCAATGAGGAACCCTACTTATTCCAAGAGAAATATTTCCTGTACACACACTTCTCCCATTTTGGAAAATAAAAACATCTCAGGGCAGTCTCTTTAGAAGGTGTGGGGATTGTGAGGTTGAAGGAGAAAGCTGTGGCGTTAGATGTAGGCACCGCTACTCCACAAAGATGATGGTCTGTGTGTCTGCGAGGGGAAGATGCTGCTTACCATTGCTGCATCCCAGCACTGAGTGCTTGGGTTCAAGTCCCGCTTCTGATTCGGACCCAACTCCCTGCTAATCTCTACCCCGGCTGGTAGTGGGTGACAGTTCAAGGACCCAGGTCCCTGCCACCCACATGGCGCATTTGGGATGGCTTCCAGATCTGATGCTCCAGGCTCGGCTAGCCTGAGCCATTGCAGGCATCGGGAAGGCGACCAGTGCATGGAGGTATGCCTTCTCTCTCCCAGCATCTACCCTTCACATAAATAAAAAATAAACTATTTTTAAAACTTTAAAGATTAGGAGAATTCAAAGTTTTAGACTTTAATAGTTAAGATTTAAATATTTCCAATTAAGGTATGGCAAAAAAGTGGGGTGAAGGGGAGGGAAGAAGTGTTTATTTCAGGAGCCGTGTCTGGGGGACAATCTGGTACACTGTTGAGCGCTGGTGGCAGGGCCGGAGGTGTGTGGGACCCCGGTTCGCCCAGCCAGGCCTATTCATGGTGCCCATTTGTTTTTTTTCTAAATAACCCAGGACTTCTCTGTTTTTAGGGTAGCTGGCTTGGGTTTCTGGAGTGAAGAGAAGCCCCCTCCTGACAACTGTCCCCATTCCGTACTAAGCCCCCTTGTGTGAGTTCCAGCCTGCACCCCGGGCGTGGCTGAGCCATTACCTTCTGGGGATGCTGAGCACTAAAGGCTTGTTCAGGAGGCTGGCTTCACTAGGCCAGGGAACCTTGTCAAACTTCGGAACGGAAGCCTGCAGGGAAGAGAGAAAGAATGGTTCAGAATGTATGACACGCAAGCCCTGCTGTCAGCATGACAGGCAGGGTAAGCTCAGCGGTGACACAGCAGTGGCCATCAGTGACACAGCAGTGGCCATTAGTGACACAGCAGTGGCCAGCGGTGGCACAGCAGTGGCCAGCGGTGGCACAGCAGTGGCCAGCGGTGACACAGCAGTGGCCAGCGGTGGCACAGCAGTGGCCATCAGTGACACAGCAGTGGCCATTAGTGACACAGCAGTGGCCAGCGGTGGCACAGCAGTGGCCAGCTGTGGCACAGCAGTGGCCAGCTGTGGCACAGCAGTGGCCAGTTGTGGCCAGCGGTGGCACAGCAGTGGTCATCTCAGAAGAATCAGCCCAGGGGGAGCCGGGAGTGACAGCTGTTAGCTGCGGTGTAGACAGCTGACCTTCGGGTGTACACGGCGCCACGTGCCCGAGCCCCACAGCTGGCCAGTGACTCCCACAGCTGGCCAGTGACTCCCACAGCTGGCCAGCAGGCCAGGCCTTCATGCCTGCTTCCACACGGCTTTACCTTGACCAGCACTACCACCTCCCACCAGCCCGCTGGGTGCCGGCCCTCGGCTGCCACCCCTGCTGAGGTGGCCACAAGAGCCACAGGCGAGGGTCGCCATCCTTACTGCCCGACTTGGGACAAAGTCTCCCAGCCTTCAATTCATCCTCACTTCCCCAAGTGTGGGCTGTGGCCGCTCCCCGGGCGCCCAGCCCGTGCCGGGTGCCCGCAGGGGCGTGGGGGGCAAGCACGGGGGCAGGGCCCGGCGCAGGGAGGCCTGTCCGCCCGCCTCACACGGATCCCCGCGTTCGAGAACCGCCCTCCCTCACCCGCCGGCCCGGCGCTGGCGGGGAGGCCTGTCCGCCCGCCTCACTCGGATCCCCGCGTTCGAGAACCGCCCTCCCTCACCCGCCGGCCCGGCGCAGGGAGGCCTGTCCGCCGCCTCACACGGATCCCCGCGTTCGAGAACCGCCCTCCCTCACCCGCCGGCCTGGCGCTGCGCGCGGACACGGCCAGCAGGGGGCGGCAGAGCGCGGCGCCCCGACCGGGAAGGGCGCTCTGGCTGCCGGGCTGCGGCGCACCCGGAAGTGCTCGTCCGCAGTCTCTGCCCGGCGCCCCGGATGGGGAAGCAGGCGGGCGGCCGCCCCGCCCCGGCCGCGCAGCCCAGGTGGGTGCCCCGTGGGTGACAGGTCCAGGCCTGCTTCTCTTGTGCCGTCCCTTGCTGGGGCTAGTTTGGGCGAGGGGCGGCGGCGGGCGGGGGAGGCCCGGAGGGTGAGCAGGGCGGCCCTGGGGGACACGCCGCCCTGACCCCTGATCCTGACCCCTGACCCTGGCCCCTGGGGGACACACCACCCTGCCATCCCCTGGCCCTTGGCCCCTGGTCCCTGGGGACACGCCGCCCTGCCATCCCCTGGCCCTTGGCCCCTGGTCCCTGGACACACCACCCTGCCATCCCCTGGCCCTTGGCCCCTGGTGCCTGGGGACACGCCGCCCTGACCCCGATCCTGACCCCTGACCCTGGCCCCTAGGGGACACATCACCCTGCCATCCCCTGGCCCCCGGTGACACCCTGTTCTGCCTTGCCCTGACCCCTGGTCCCTGGGGACAAGCCACCCTGCCCTCCCCTGGTCCCTGGGGACACACCGCCCTGACCCCTGACCCTGGCCCCTGGGGACACACCACCCTACCATCCCCTGGCCCTTGGCCCCTGGTCCCTGGGGACACGCCGCCCTGCCATCCCCTGGCCCTTGGCCCCTGGTGCCTGGGGACATGCTGCCCTGACTTCCTCTGGTCCATGGGGACACACCGCTCTGCCTTCCTCTGACCCCAGCCCCTAAGGACGAGCCCCTGCCATCCCCTGGCCCTGGGGGATAAGCCACCCTGCCCTCCCCTGGTCCATGGGAACACTCTGTCCTGCCCTCCCCTGACCCTGGTCCTGGGGACACGCCACCCTGCTCTCCCCTGACCCTTGGGAACACACCACCCTACCCTTTCCTGACCCTTGGCCTTTGGGGACATGCCACCCTACCTTCCCCTGACTCCTGGCCCCTTCGGACACGCTGCCCTGCTCTCCCCTGGCCCCTAGGGACATGCTACCCTGCCCTCCCCTGACCCCTGGCCTCTGGGGACAAGCTGCTCTACTGGACCCAGACCCCAACTCTGCACTCACTTGCCTGGGCCAGGTCCCTGCTGCCTGGAGGAGGGGGCCTCAGGGTGTTGGGCTGGCATAGCCAAAGCTCTTGGAAGGAATAAGGTCAGACGTTTTCTCAGATTTGCTGGATGCCCTTTGGATTTCTGACACTTGTTTCCTTTTGTGGAAAAGATGCTGATTTTCTTTATGCTGCACCAGGCGTGTGTGCCCAACAGGGTGGGCGCTCTGAGACTGTTAGGGTTAGCTACTGCATGTCCTTCCTGGAGTCCTTGGTTGGGTCTGAGTAAACCGAACAACTCCTATGTTTCTTTTGTGCAGCTTACTGTTGTTTATGCTAGTGACTTAGAGCATGCTTTTGACAACTGAGGGAAATCTGTGGATTCTGCCTGTGCATTTGCGTAGATTGCAGGGGGGCAGGGCGGGTACGGTGCCACTCACCGCAGGGAGTGCCACCTGCCTTGACAAGTGACCTCACAGACTTGGGACTCTGTTCCCTTGGACCAGAGACCAAGTAACTTAATCCTAATGTGTGAGGTCATGAAGATTAAGATGTGTGAGTCATTGAGCACATAGGAGGCATACAGTAATGGAAGGTAACAGTCCCTATTAAAAAGTTATACTTTAAAAATCTGAGGTTAATGTTCCATGTGAAAGGATGGCCACCGTATGCATTCGATTCAGACTTCATAAACTGAATTGGTTCACCTCAGCTTTAACTGGCATATTCACAGTATCTCTTTTCCTAGGAACGTGGCTCCTTTGTCCTGCCTCAGAGAAGTTCATCCTTGCAGACCTAGCCTGGGTTGCTGCCTTTGACAACAGGAAAGGGTCGGTAGGATATCAGCCACAGCTGATCATGGCATTTCCAGAGAGGTCTAACTTGAAAGCTTCCTAAAGCACAGGAACCCATGGACTTGGCCGAGTGAGGGAGTCGATGATGTGTGCCCAGCCTGTGACTAACACCGAGGAGGTCAGGTGGCAGAAGGTCTTATATGAACGACAGCCCTTCCCTGATAACTACGTGGACCGCAGGTTCTTGGAAGAGCTCCGGAAGAACATCTATGCCCGCAAGTACCAGTACTGGGCGGTGGTGTTTGAGTCCAGTGTGGTGGTCCAGCAGCTGTGCTGCGTCTGTGTTTTTGTGGTTATTTGGTGGTACATGGACGAGGGTCTTCTGGCACCCCATTGGCTGTTTGGGACTGGACTGGCCTCTTCACTGGTGGGTTACATTTTATTCGATCTCGTTGATGGAGGTGAAGGACGGAAGAGGAGTGGGCGGACGCGGTGGGCTGACTTAAAGAGCGCTCTCGTCTTCATTACTTTCACGTATGGCTTTTCCCCAGTCCTGAAGACGCTCACCGAGTCGGTCAGCACTGACACCATCTACGCCATGGCAGTCTTCATGCTCTTGGGCCACCTCATCTTCTTTGACTACGGTGCCAATGCTGCCATTGTGTCCAGCACGCTGTCCTTGAACATGGCCATCTTTGCCTCTGTGTGCCTGGCCTCGCGCCTTCCGCGGTCTCTGCATGCCTTCATCATGGTGACATTCGCCATCCAGATGTTTGCCCTGTGGCCCATGTTGCAGAAGAAGCTGAAGGCTTGCACTCCCCGCAGTTACGTGGGGGTCACGCTGCTGTTTGCACTGTCCGCCCTGGGCGGCCTGCTGTCCATTAGTGTGGTGGGAGCCATACTCTTTGCCCTTCTGCTGCTTTCCATCTCCTGTCTCTGCCCTTTCTACCTCATTCGCCTGCAGCTTTTTAAGGAGAACATTCACGGGCCTTGGGATGAAGCTGAAATCAAAGAAGACTTGTCCAGGTTCCTCAGCTAACTTAGGGGTCCACTGTCAGATTGCGAAAGCAAGCTAAGGGACGAAGCTGCTAACAAATTTGAAGCCAAAGTTCTACTCGAAGCAGCAGTGGCTGAGAGAACGGAGATGAGAAGGAGCGCTCACCGGAGCGTGGACGGGGAAGGTACTTGTCTTCTGTTTTATGGATGAAAAAGCTTCCTGTGTCTCATGCACTGTTTGCTGTAACTAATGAAGTGATGTGGTTTCTATTAAAAGCACCAACAGCACATCCCGTCAGAAGCTGTCTCGTGATTTTCACTGAAGTGGAAAGCCGACAGAGGGACACAGTGTGAAGACAGTGCGTGGGCGTGTGTCTGCGTGTGTGTAGCTGTGGCCTTCTTCCAGTGTGCCAACAGAAGCTGCTCTGCTCATGTAGAGCTCCGTTTTGTCGCCCAAGGTCACAGAAGTCACAACCCTGACCAGAATTTCTGTGTGGTTTTTAGGGAAACATGGACTCCAGTAAGGGAAAGTGTGATTGTCTTGTCCACAAATTGCTGCAGATTCAACAGGGAAAAGTTAGAACATTTATGGGAAGAGATGGCAGTTAATCTGGTCTGAGGGCCAGTGGGATTTGAAGAGTGATCTGGGGGCAGTTTGGCCCTAGTGAGGCTGGCCTGCTTTGGCGGGTGGAGCTCAGTATGGAGGTCAAGGAGGAAGAGGAGTTGGGGGCAGATGGGAGAGTAAGCAGGGGGTGTGAGGCAGCTTTGATTTTCCCCCCAAAATGCTGCCATGCATTGAAGTCGGATGGCAACGCTCGTGGAGAGGCAGGAGCACCCCGTTTTGTGCGTTGTGAGGCTGCTTCGTGGCTGACGTGTGGAGTGCAGGGCCTGGCGCACTCAGTGGAAAGGTCCAGCACAAGTGGGCTGCGGTCGGAGATGGCGCAGTACTTTGCATGATTCTATCCCGTAGTTCATTAAGGGCTTTGGAAGCGGTATTATACCTGCCTATTTATAAAGCCTTAAATAGAGTGTATCATACACAAATAAATGCCTGGGCAGTTATGAGGGGCAATTCTGACAGTTTTTGAGGCTGAACTACACTGATTGAGCCGAAGAGTGACAACAGTTGTGGTGAAAAGTCAGTCAACTGAGGGTGAGCTAGTGGGATGGAGACGAGGGTTGTGACAGGGGAGCTTCTCCAAGAACTGAGCGACTTCCTGTAGAGGGAGGGACGGTGAGGCCGCGGAGGACCTTCCAGCTACTGATTCACTCCTCAGATGGCTACAGCAGCTGGGGCGAGCTGATCTGAAGCCAGGAGCTCCTTCTGGGTCTCCCACATATGTACAGAGTGCCAAGGCCTTGAACCATCCTCTGCTGCTTTCCCGAGCGATACAGTTCAGCTCCCAAAGCACAGGTGGGCGCCTGCGACACCATGGCACCCACTCCCAAGTCTGCACTTCCTGAGATGTTACATCCAGTCTAAGGTGAGAGAACAGAGGGAAGGGAAGAGAGCCGAGAGTTCTTCACAGTGGAGCCGGGGCCTGGAGTTGGATGCAGGGATCAGGAACCAGAGCTGTAGGCTGTTGGTGCTCTCCCGTGCCATGATGGCTGGTGTGTAGCTGGAAAGCGTGCACCTCAGAGTACAGCAACACACGGTGATTGTGTAATCCCTGTTTGCCCGTGTGCCTGCGTCAGTACTGCCGCGGTTGGGAAAAGCCTTTGAGCGGCTGACTTCAACTGTGGGTTTAAAATGTTCCTCCAGAGCACACACAAGGCCTATGAAGCCATCATTTACGTCTAAGCAAGACTCAAGTACAAGACAAACGAGTCAGCAGAGGGCGTCCGTTACCAGATTAGACAGTGTTTTAAACTGCTAATTCAGGAAACTGGGGCTAGGACACAGTGCCCCCTTGTGGAAGCTATGATGTTCCTGTCTGTGATGACATTCGACTGAAGTGCTTGGCTGCAGGAAACACCCCATTGGGGTTTGATAAATGATAGTTCCCGCTCTGCTGTGTTACACGTATATGATCCTAACTGCTGCTTGTCATAATCCTGTGAGAAGCATCATTTTCAGTCTACTTCCAGGAGCCTGAGCTCAGGCTGGGGCAGGAACTACTCTGCTTGCTACAGCTTGAATGTTATCCAGGGCTAAAGGTCGTCTGGTGGGCAGTTGCTTTAATGCTTTTCTTTCCTTTTTTAATCTTTTATTATTATTATCATTATCATTTTATGATATAGTCCACAGACCCTGGGATTTCCCCTGTCCCCTCCTGAATTCCCCTCCAACTGAGTTCCCCTATATCACTGTTAAAATATAGTTCTTCATACAAAGTCATCTGTCCATTACTATGGGCATGAACAATGGCAGAGAGTCCAGCATCCTATTGTCAAGATATAGTAAACACTTTCACTGGGAGTCCATCTTTACTCTGGAAGTAGAGGTGCATACTGCATTGTATCCTCACATCTGGATATGTCAGTTTGAATGTAAATGACTTAAGCTCAATCAAACATCATGGATTAGTAGACTGGATTAAAAAACAAAACCCATCTATTTGTTGCCTACAGGAGACATATTTCATCAACAGAAGTCAGCGGAAACTCTATCGCATGGGTTTTGATGTTTTCTGTTAGTTTCATCTCTTCAAAATACTTTCTTCTGATTAAATTCTTCAGTGGCTCATAGATCACACAGTAGCATCATTTTTTTTCAAGAAGGTTCTTGATTTTCTTTTACATTTCTTCAGCGACACATTAGTCATTCAGTAGCGTGTTATTTAACTTCATGGTGATATTAATTTCTTTTTTCTTCCTGTTGCTGATTTTGTTTTGTGGCTTTTCATTTAAGGGGATGTATAGTAACAAATGGAGGCATTAATGCTTTTCAAGCGTCTCAACAACCTCTTCATCGTCATCTTCTTGTTTTCCTCCCACAACATTTGGAAAAACAGGGTGCGCCTAAGCTTACCTCTGCTCACTTACATTTTAGGATGTTTGATTCAAGAATTTATTTAGTCAGCAAAAATGTATTGAGTGCTTACCATGCGTCAGATTCTACGTGCTTGGGATGTAGCGGTGACTAGCAAGCATGGAGGTCCTTGACCTAGCAAAGCTTAGAGACACATGATGAACGTGCATGCACGCTAATGCATGCGATCAGAGAGGGGAGTGGCATCGTGCTGCACAGGGCGACACAATGACACTGCAGGGAAGAGAATGTCAGAGTGTAGCGCTGCTGCAAAGCCCTGGCAGGAAAGTGCTTGGTGTGTTTGGGGGGTGGCAAGCAGGGGTGAAGCATGTGAGCCAGTCGAGCAGAGTGGAGGTCAAGGAGGTCATGTGAGAGGTCAGATTACAGATGACACCATGAGCTCTTAAAAGGGCTTGCGGCCTTTTACATTGGAGAGCCATGGAGGAAAGTTCTGGGTTCTGTGTGCTCTGGAACAAGAGCTCATGCTACCAGAGTCGGCAGCTGATGTGCAGGAGTGCTGCCAGCGAGGGGAGGGCTCAGAGGCACAGGATGACGTCAGAGCAAGTGGAAGGGGACAGTGACAGACGGACTGGACAGGATTTGAAAGTGAAGCTAACGAGGCTTTCTGATGTATTAGATGCGGATATGGAAGCAGCAGCAATTACTCCTAAGGCCTTCAGCCCGAGCTAATTAGAAGATGACAGATACGCCATCAGTCAGGCCGGGGACATGGAACATCAGAGGGATGGGACAGCATCATGGGAGGAAGGCCAGGAGTTCCTTTGGGGTATATATGGCATAAAAGCAACATGTTGGGTAGGGAGCGGGAGACAGGAGTTAGAGAGGTAGGATATGGGATTGGTTGGCAATGAAGAGCGCTGTGAGACCAGATGAGATGACCAAGGAAGTGGGGACAGGTCAGCGAGGAAAGGAAGCACCGTTTGACAAGAAAATCATTGGAGACTAAGAAAGTGGAGAGATTGTCTCCAGAAACCAAGTACAGAATGTGTCTCAAAAAGCAGGGATGAGATTAAAACGTGAGATGTGCTGAGGGTTTCTGCATTGAACCAGGAGGAGGGTTAGAAGAAGAGACATTTCATGGAGCAGTGGAAGTAGAGCCCAATTTTGGACTGGTTTAGAGGAAGTGTAGGAGCAGCGAGTAGAGATAGCTTTCAGAAAGATTTGCTTCGAAGAGGAACCAAGAAATAGGACAGACTCTGGAAATTAGAACCAAAAATTATGGTTGTGTGATTGTAATCAAATTGTAGAAAGATGACATGCTGCGAGAGGGAAGAGTTTCTGGGGTAATAGACTTGAGGAGGTGAGAACTAGTGCCTAACTGGAAGGCTGGGTTCTAGAGAAGGCAGGGAGATTCGATCCGTGGAGCACGTGGGAAGGTACAGAGAATGCCGAATGGGTGGATGGGCTGATGAGATTCTTGGGACGTTCTTTCCCAATTGCTTCAATTTTGGGGGGAAGATGGAGGCAAGGAATCAGCTGAGAGGGATGATGTGGGGAGATGACTGAAGAATATGTAGAAGAGTTTAGTAGAGTGGGGAATGAGTGGGTGAGGCTGCTCGGAGCAGTATCTTGACTTTCAGTGCACCTGCTTGTGTGTGTCTCCAGACTACGGAGAGCTCCACGGATACAAAGCAGAGCAGGCAGACCTGGGTTCTCCCAAGTGGTGGCATTACCAACTTGTGAGAACAGCAGTGGGGCGTGGCTATAGTGATTCCCGTGGCATTTAAATCGAGTAAGGAGAGTGAGCATCTTTGGGGGTCAAGGAGAGGAGGCTAAGGGACAGCAAAAAGATCCAGGAGATTGGAGCAGCAAGGGATAGGCTAGAAAACAGGAGAGAGAGTCCAGAGGGGCCAAAGACGAAACTGCCATTTGGGAAGAAAGTAGTTTGGGTAGCGGCTAGGGCACAGTTTCTGGAAGAGTGTGATCCTAGAAGAGGGGAAATGAAGTGCCTACAGGCATATGAAAACAGCCAAGAATTCAACCAGGTAGCACACGAGGGAAATACACTAGGGGAGAATGGGTTTGGGGGGCTCGGAGAGAAGACCAACATGGGCACCGTGTGCTGTCGTCAGATGCACTGAGGTACAAACTTGGAGGTTTCAGTGAGAAAAAGTGGTCTGAAAGCAAATGTAACAGAAAAGCTCTGTTTCCCATGCAAGGCTGAGTGGGATGAGAGCTAGAGACAAGCTGCCAGTTTCTGAGCAGGCTTCAGGGGGCCGCAGTGCCCGCCCTACGACAGCGGGTGAGGGTGGAATTAGGAAGGGCACATCAGGAGAGAAGGCGGTGGGTGACGGTG